TCTTTATCAAATGGATGCTAAGAATGTTTTTCTCAATGGCCATCTCACAGAAGAGGTTTACATGCGTCCTCTCCCTGACCTTCACCATTCTTTTGGACAGGTTTTTTGCCTTCGGCGTGCTCCGTATGGTCTGAAACAGTCTCCTCGTGCTGGGTATGATCGTTTTCAGACTGCTGTTACTACGCTTGGGTTTCATCCTTGTGCTCAAGACCCTGCGTTATTTCTTCTCCACACATCTGCTGGATTCGTTGCCTTATTACTGTATGTAGATAACATGATCATCACTAGTTTTGACTTTTCTGCCATCTCTGAGGTCAAGCAGCATCTTTCTTGCACCTTTGAAACGAAGGATTTGGGCCCTTTGTGATATTTTGTTGGTATTGAGGTCGCTTCATCTGCCAAGGGCTACTTTTTATCTTAGGCCAAGTATGCCAATGAGGTTATTCATTGTGCTGGTCTTACTGACACTAAGTCTTTTGAAACCCCCATTGAGCTTAATGTGAAGCTCACCACTACTGATGGTGTTCTTCTAGATGATCCTACTTTATATCGAGAGCTCGTGAGTTGCTTAGTCTATTTAACGGTTACTCGCCCTGATCTTGCCTATGTTGTTCATGTGGTTAGTCAATTCGTTTCTGCTCTTCGTTCTACACATTCGGCTACTTTAGTTCGGATTCTTCGCTATCTCCGGGGTACTATATTTTAGGGTTTACTGTTGTCTTCTACTTCCTCTTTCGACTTGGTAGCTTATGCTGATTCTAATTGGCCTGGTGATGTCACTGATCGCAAGTTCACTTCTGACTTCTGCATGTTTATTAGTGATTCCTTGATTTCTTGAAAAAACAAGAAACAGACTGTTGTTGCGCGTTCTACTGCCGAGGCTGAGTACCGTGCTATGGCTTATGTTACTACTGAAATTGTTTGGCTTCGTTGTCTCTTGACTGATCTGGGTGTCTCTCAGTCTTCTCCGACCTCCCATTACTGTGACAACCACAGTGCTATTCAGATTGCCCATAACATTGTTTTTCATGAGCGGACGAAGCACATTGAGATTGATTGTCATTTTGTCCGTCAGCATCTGCAATCTGGCTCCATCTTGCTTCCTTTCGTCTCTTCGACATTGCAACTTGCTGATTTCTTTACGAAAACTCACACCACTGGTCGCTTTCAGTTTCTTCTTGGCAAACTCTTAGTGTTTTCTGCTAAACCACCTTGAGTTTGAGCGAGAGTGTGAGAATATATCTTAATTATGGAAATATATTTTAGATTGATTGTGTGCATATATAGATTGATTGTATAGGGTTATTATTTCCTATTTTAGCTTAGGTTTAGGTTTGCTCTATATATATATATATATCAGTTGTAATCTTTGTATTGAGCACCAGTTGAATATACAAGTTTATTCAGAATCTTACACCCCCATCCTAACTTGTACCAAAAGATTGGTAATTGAAGGTTAAACATTTGTCTAGATTCCAAATTTTGGAAGATTTCAATTGCATTTGTAGTTTACCACAAAGCGCATGCTACATGTAAGCAATGTTTTTCAAGTGACGCCTGGTATGAATGCTATGTAGACCATGGTTATCAGAATCCCGATCCGGATCTTACGATCCTACGATCTTACGATCCATTTGAGTACAATCGATCCGGATCGTATAAAAAACTCCTTATAGGTAGGATTTTTCGATCCTAGTAGTGGGATCTTATAGGATCGTGGAATCCCGATCAGAATCCGATCCTATCCGATCCTATCCGATTCAATTTACAAGCCTTGTTTTGTATTGTATGACATATTTTGTTGTAAATTTTATGTTTGTTGTCTAAATACTAATTTATGCTGTCAAAATAAATAATAAAAATTAAGTAGTATTGAATCACATAGACTAAGAAAAACAAACTAAGAAACAAACATTCAAATATTGCGGTAATTTAAGAAAATTAAATAGTCAGAAAAACAAACTTAGTTTTAGCGGAGTCTAAGAAGGGTAAGATGATTGCAACTTTATCCCAATTTCTGGAGAAATTTTTTTTGTGACTCGAATCCGCTCCACCATGGATGCAAACGACAAATCTTATCATTCGACTAAGCTACTCTTTTGAGTTCTTAATCTATTTTCATATCCAATTTTGTTAAATATTTTTTCTTCACTTTTTATGCATTATTGTACATTGTAAAGTATTTTGTTATAGAATTCTTCTTCTTCTTCACCTTTTTTGCTAAAATACAAAACTTTTACCATCGAGTTTTCTATTGCATAATATTATATGTACATTTTACATGAAATATTATATTTTTCACAATATGTTTAATTCTTTTTAATAGAATATAGGTTCATTTTGTGTATACTTTATAAGAAATATTTATTTAAATTAAATTACTATGTAATTTGTCTTTTTCGGTAGGATCTTACGATTCTCGATCCGATTCTACGATCCGATCCTATAAATACCTCCAACGATCCGACGTAGGATCCCGATTTTAACAACCTTGATGTAGACATGCATTTCACAACTTCACACCAAAAGTAACTTTTAGAATTGCTTCTTTTCTTCTCAACGACATCCTTCAACTCAAACAGAATCATGTTTGGCAGCTAAACTAATTGGTTTATAACAATTTAACAAAGATGTTTTATATTTCATTCCTCATTTAGTTTCCATGAACAGTAGTAGCACAGACAGACACAGGAGAACAGATTAAAAACAGACACAAAAACGATGATATGGTAAATTCTAGGGGTACGAAAGGGTCCGAGCCACATAGACTGGACCAACCTAAAACCATACTCCTTAGTTAAAGCTTGGGCTGAGGTGTTTGAAGCCTAGCTCAGTTTGATTTAAAAAGAAAAATATTTTTTAATAAATCCTGGCCCCCCAAGGGCCAAAGCCATTCTAAGCTGGGCCAGGGTTTTTGAAATTTGGCGCCATCCAAGATTTGGTGAGAATTTGACCTGACTGCTCCAGCCAAATGGGCCTAGCCCTGGTAAGCCGATTTTACACCCTAGTAAATTCCAAATGCTGACAACAGATGTAATGTTACACGGACTCGGATATGGGTATCGGATGCAGGTGCTATCTAGGGGTCGAACACTTCAAAATTAAAAATTGAAAATATGTGGATATGGATCCAAATTTGGATATAGATACAGGGATAAGTTAAATAGTTTTTTTTTTACAAATATATTTATTATATGAAAATGAGTTAAAAAAAATTAAGACATAATAAATTTTGTTAAAAAATAAATATAAATAATAAATAAAAATTATTATAGATATAAAATAAATTATATTATATATGATAAAATAAATTATTTTATTTTAGACATAAAAATTATATTATTTATGATATATTATACAATTTTTTTGGGTGAATAATATTATATAATATGAATAATATTATATATTATTTTATTAATGTAATTTATATTATATAATATAAATGTAATTAAAAATATGAGAAAAGAGAACAAAGAGAGGAAAGAGAAGACAAAAAGAAAGAAGAGAGAAGTTAATAGAAGAAAAGAGAGAGAGAGAGAGAGAGGAAGAGGGAGATCGAGAGACGAGAGGAGAGGAAAAGAGAGATCGAGAGAGAAGACAGAGAAGGAGATCGAGCATCGAGTGTAAATCGAAGCTGTCGAAGCAGCGACTAGAGGGATCGAAGTCAGCGACCGATGTCTTCACCCTTTCGAACGGTGACCAGGTTCTCTCTTGCTCTATCCTCTTTCATTTTTTTTGTCGTTTGTAAAGAGCCGTGTCCGAGAGAGGAGGCGAATCCAACACAGATCCCACACCCGCACCCGTGTCGCATTGCGTTGCGTTGACGCGGGTACTTCACCTCAAAGGGCCGAGTCTGTGTAACATAGTGTAAGGACATTAAGAAAAAATAAACTTAAAGTTCAAGGTGCAAACTGCAAAGTGCCAACCCCTGAGGGAGGTAAGACACCCTAACAGACCCTCTTATGTACTCATTTAAATGTATGAAGTACCGGTGTTCAAAGGCAAGAGAGCTGAGACAAAAAATTCTGTTTCACAACAGATTTTTCATTCAAGTACACCATTCATTGCCATAACAGATTTTTCATTCAAAGTGGAAAGAAAAGTCTATATTCAAGAGACAGTTAATATGTGTGTCGAAGCTGCAAGCATGTGGGGACTTGATTTGTGGTGTTCTAAACATTTCGGCCGATTTCACAAGTGGTTGGAGGACAAGACGATACCCATGGATCAAGGTAACAATTTAGTCGAGATAATGATTGTAAGTCATTACTCAGATCTTGTATTAATGTCTTTAAATAGTGGATAATCTTCATCGGCAGAGGTGCAAGTGGTATTTCCCTTTTGAGGGTTTCCATAAAAATTAAATGTTTTCGATTTGTGGATATTTTAATTTGTACTATTATCTTGTTTAACACTTGGACGCACAAGAATTGAATTGGGCAGAAATATAATTGGTTGGTAAATTCACCATCAAGCCTTTTCATTACACATTTCAAATGTATTCAAAATTTTCATTATATTTTCTTTTCATCTTCCTTTTCCATTAGTAACAAAACATGGAAAAATAACTTTCTTTGCATTTTATTTTCCTTGCCCTCACCAAATCCCATCAACTAAACAAAAGCCAAGTGTTGCCTCAGCATCCAAGAAAAAGAAGTGTTTACGATCTCACAAAATTATGAAACTTTCTAAATTACGGACGAATCCAGTAGTGTTTGTTGGTTGTCTAATGGTGTTCCGGAAGTGTCAATATCTGACATGAACAGAGCTCCTATAGACAATTTCCATGCCACTTAGGTGCTATGCATATGTAGTTCCTCAGTTTCATTTGGTTATGTTAACTTAATTCCTCTCATGCAGCTTCAGGTTCTTATTCTTGGTTTACAGACATCCAGACTCATGAGAACCAACACCCCCCCCCCCCCCTCTCTCTCTCTCTCTCTCTCTCTCACTCTTACTAATCTGCAAACCAAATTATGATGCATTTATGGAAACCTTACCCCATCAGAAGCAAGAACAATGAATTTATCTCGTTCCGTAAGAGTCCAGTGAGAGAATTCGGGAATAGAGATGACCCCATATTCCTTTAAACAAAAGTCCCCAAATGCCCGAGCCATTGCTAAGCCAGGGGCATCATCAAATGGAAGCCAAACTCTTGGCACTTCTGGCTCATCTTGCAATGCAAAGACCCTTCCTTTACACCGTTTTATCCTTTCAGCTTCCCCTATTAATAATTATCTCAGATCAACACAAACAGGTCATGAAAAAAAAAAAAAAAGAGCCAAACAATTGAATTATGGTAAAACATACTTGGCAAATCAGGCTTTAGATCAATAGTCAATTGAATCGCTACCATGGAATCGTTACTGTCCTTAGATCCTAAGATTGCCCGAGAATCCCCAATATTTCCCATGTAAAGATTTGAACCCTTCCAACCAAACATAATAAAAGGGGATGAGAAAAATTAAAATGAAAACCTAAAGAAAAAGAGTGGATAGTGCTTCATTCCATACCTGCTTCACTATAGTGACAGCAGTGCTACCACTGCAAAAGCAGTCCAAGTTAGGGTGGGACCTTAGCTCCTTGTCCATGGCTTTGAATGATTTAAGAAAAGTGTCTCTCCATAAAGAGTCCATGTTATCCTCTGTAGCGCCATCCTTTTCAGGATCTCCTCCATCTGATTTAAGATTCCCAGTGCAACAAGTAGTAGTAGAACCATTTTGCTTGGATTCACCAGAATACATGAATGACAATAGCTTTAATGGCAGCGCATCCCTTACTTTGCGGGCAACGAGATGGCCATATGGACCATGGCCATCAAAGACACCACAGAGAGTAACATCTTCTGCCATGAAATCCTACAGAAATTCAAAGCTTAAGAAAGTAACAACCAAAGATGACAAAATATCATTCTAGAACAGAAGAACAAAACTTACTTCCCACACAATCATTGCATCCTGGTTTATACCCTTACGACCCTGCTGAGTGAATATACAAGAAGTTCGGCTCTTTCCATTTGTGAATATCCGGTTAGGATTGGAGGACAAATGCTGCGTCGTAGTGACATGGTCAGAAAATGTTTTCCTATTTCTCTTTCTCCTGCACAAACCAACACCCAAACAAGTTGGAGAAATAGGCTCCCCACTGCTCCTGCTGCTACAACTACTCTGACTACTAGTCGAGAGGCAACCCCCCATTTCCTCAGTCCTGGAAACAAGACATCTGATTGAAACAATGTACAAGGTTCCTTCTTTTGTGAGCCCAGATCTCCAGTGAAATGCCCAAATCAGATTGTATAGTCAACCCAGCAAAAGACTGAGGAAACCAAAGATTCCCATACACCAAACCGGGGCAATTTGGAACTTGGTACAGAAAACATGGTTCTGTTCATCTTAGTCAAATGTCAATCCATTGGAAGGAACATGGATCATAATGGAACCAGCTAACCAAAACGAGAAAGTATTAATTAATTGAATTGTTTATCTTATATGCCAATAGAAGGATGTATACTGTAAACTCAACAAATCAAGAAAACACAGTTTCTTCAGCATGTGACCAAGGAATATAAAAAATGCACAAGGCAGTCAGGATCATTTGTCCTTCAACCAGAATCTTATTCACAGCATAAAACATTGAAATTATATATAATAATATCCACCCACAAATTACGAATATAATAGTCAAGGCAGAGAAGACATAAAAAAGGTAAAAACTAGTAAATTTACTCCAAGAACAAATCAGAGGCATGTTGATAAACACGAGGTAAAAAGGGAATTACCCACTAGCATATTTCAACAGTTCAGGAATAGGGCTCCTCTCTCTCTCTCTCTCTCTCTCTCTCTCTCTCTCCATAGAAAAATTAGCCTCGGAATCTACAGGTGATTTTCAGAATTTTTACCCAATATACATAAATAAAACTAAGCATTAGACTCTACAGGTGATTTTAAAAAAATATTCCTCCATGTGTGTATATATAGAGACAAAATATAGTATTTCAGATGTACAAAAAAACACTAAAAATCAAGACTATAAGAACATATCCGACGCTTACTCAGATGTTTTATCAAATTTAAATTTGATGAAACACATTCCTCTTTTTTTTGCTCCAACCATAGCATCAAACCCATATCAAATGAAGATGAGCTTAGATTTTACATCAAATCAAGGAAGCGTTTGACTTTTCATTAAATTTTGCAGGCAACTGTTGGTGGATGACAAGATGGACGACTGGCTTGGTGAAGTTTTGCTGAAAATTTGCTCTAGGCCGGACAACCAGCCACATTTAATGAAACTACTGGAGCACAGCGTATCATATCAAATTTGATGAAAAGATGAAAAAATGAAAAAATTGACTAAGCGTCGAGGCAGAATTTCGTAAAGAGGACCAAGTTTTTTATGTAATCTCTATTCAATCACCCAAAAAAAGAAATATATATTCCGTTCAAATTTCGATTTTCCCTCTCCAGAGCAAATCAGAATCGATAGGCGGAAAAGCAAAGCGGTAAAGTAGAAAAAGACGAAACAAAAGAATGGATTCGTCAAAACAGAATCACTAGGAAAGGGAAAAGCTGGAGGCTAGATCAAGTAAAAATCATCTTTTACTTTCGAAAACTCAGCGAAGACTCCGTTTGGTTGCATAGAATCGAGTGAAGAAAAACGAAAATCAGAAAATTAGATTAACAAAATGACACACACAGACTGAGCATAACACAATTATTTCTCCTGGTTAAAACTCGAACGAGACTAACATTAATTGCAAAATTCAAAAGTTTTCATTCTTCTTTTTTTATATCTTTCTCTTTTCCTTCTTTTCTCAGCAACCAAACAGAGTCGTGGACGGAAAGAGTACAGAGAGATATCAAACAAGTCTGAAAGTTTGAATACAAACTTCAAACAGAAAATTCAAACACATACGTAGGATAGATATCAGTAAATTGTAGTTCTAAAAAAAAAATCAGTAGATTAAAAAATTCATATGACGAACGCTTTTAAATTCTCAGCAAACAAACACGAAATATGGAGTTCAGTGTGGAGAGGGAGAGAGAGAGAGAGATACCTCTGCAAATCTTCGGTCGGTGTATTGACGATTTGGAGTTACGAATTTGAGATCGGAGAGAGTCGAAATCGAAGAAGAAAGAGAGGTTTTAGTAGAGTAAAAATGAAAGTGCACATTAATTGTGAAAGCGATTTCAGAGACAGAGGGACTGAGAGAGAAAAGGAAGACTCTTCTGTCAGAGCCAAGTAGAAAAGAGAGAGAGTTTTACTGGGTATGTGAATTGAAAGGGAGTGACTTTTCTCCGGTTTACACAGTAGATGTGTGGACGGGAGCGTGCTGTAACAAGGGTTGTGGAGCCTGTGAAGGATTTCATTTTCATAATTTCATACGTAAAATTTGTAGAGTATTTTATATTTGTGAAAATTTATATTGATCGAATATTGGTAATTTTTTATTAGAAAATATTTTTGTTAATAATTTATTTTAAAATTATATTTATTATTGATAAAAATTTATTCTGATCAAGGAATTATTGATATTCAATTAATGTGATTTTTTACAGACATAAAGTATTCAACAAAATCTACACATTGAAAAATTTGAGTTATCGAAACAAGACACATAATAAACTTTACAAGCTCAATAAACGTTCTAATCTATATTATATATTAAGTAAAATGAAGCTTTTAACTTTAAGTCTTGTGGGAGCTCTAATCTTCCCATCTAAATTTCTTGATTTTTTGATTAAAATTTTTTTTTTTAGCATTTATTAACTTCTCTCAACTTCCAAGTCTTACCCTCATAATAACACTTTAATGCATTAAGAATAAGTATAAAAAAAATTCTTTAAAATCCAACACATATGAATTCATTGAAAAGTCCCAATACATATGATTATTATCCCTCATAATAATACTTTAATATATTAAGAACAAGCATAAAAAAAATTTCTTAAAAAATTTAATATATATGATTATTATCAAAAAATTAAACTTTAATATAATATAATAAATAAAAAAAGACATTTAATTCTTTGAAAAGTCTAATACATATAATTATTATAAAAATATTAAATTTTAATATAATATATAAAAAAAATATTTAAAAATTACAACTCATATATATACGGGTGATATGCTGATCTATTAAATAAACGGAAAAGAAGCATTTCCCAAATGAAAACCATTCAATGCTCTCACGGAGTTTCCCATGTTCATGTTTTATTTTTTTGAATATTTTTTAGTTATTTTATGTAAAATTATGAATTATATCTTTTTAACTTATAATATTTTAAAATAGCACCAAATCATACTCTGAAAACACTCATAACCACTAATATGAAATGGCCGGCAGGTAGTTACTATTCGGCTTAGCGGTCAGCTTAGCCGCTCACTCCCAGCCGAAATGATACACTCACGAGTTGTGTGGTTTGAAAGTTGAGTTATTTATATGAATACTCTAAACTATTATTTTAATTATTTAGGTCAAGTTTGGCATAACCTAAATAATATAAAAAGTCAAAAAGTCACTATCCTATTTAAGTCATATCATCTTATTTAAATCACATCACCTCTCTAACACATCACATCAAACCCAACACAAACCCAACCCATATAAGCTAATAAGTAAAAAAGTGCACTTTTTTAGAACATCTCAAACCAACCCTTAAATTATAAAAATATATAAATAAATTTTTTAAATTATTGAAAAATATGATTTTGACTTATAAATTATAAAAACATACAAATAAATCCTCAAATTATAAAAATATACCAATTAGACCTCCTTGTGGAAGGGGTCAAAATAGAACACTTTTTTACAATTTAGGGAGGCTGTTTATATATTTTTATATATTTTTTATAGTTTATGATGAAAAACGATACTTCTCAATAATTTAGGAGATCTATTTAAGATTTACCTAAAATAACACAGAATGTAACAATTACTTGAAATTAGCCAGCAATTTTTTTATTTTATACTTGTTTGGAATAATCTAACTTAGTCATTTTTATTTTTTATTTTTTGAATTTTTTGTTGTTAGTGAACTTTTATAAAACTATATCAAAAAAAATTCGGTTTGTATTGTGTGAACGAATTTAAAAAGTGAATTTTTTTTTTCAAAAAAACTTAAAAAAAACAAAAAAAGTTAATTATTTTTTACTTATTTTAATTTTTTTTTTAATTTTTCAATTCATTTCATTGAGTAGAATTCAAAAGTCTGATTTTTTTGGAAAAATTAAAAAAAAAAATTCACTAAAACTAAAAATAAACAAAAAAAAATTACCAAAAAATCAAACTCAAAATACTAACATATTGATAACAAAATTACCTAACACGCTTATATTTATTCCAACCTGATTTTAATAATAATAATAATAAAAAAGTTCAAGAGAGTATTGATAAGATAGGATAAAATATAGAGGCATGTAAGTCAGGACTATCAAGGTTAGGATAAAATACAAAATTATATTATTAAAATAGTTAAGTTTAAAGTCAAGAATTCACTTGCAAAACCCAAAAAATTCGAGTAAAGATCCTCTACAGTTATAATGGTGTAGTGCAATCTATAGTTCTTTTGTTGACAGCATACCACATCAAAAGTGAGAGAAATGGAAGTTTGAGATTTCTTCTTTCAAAACGGTGTCGTTTCGTTTTGTTTTGTTTTGTTTTTTTCCTTCACGTTTTTGTTTCTCTACACTCTATTTCCAAGCACAACTGTTTTTTTTCCTTCACGTTTTTGTTTCTCTGCACTCTATTTCCAAGCACAACAAACAAAAAATGGCAATAGAGAATAGAAGCGATGACTCCCATGATGTTCAATGAACAAACGAGAGTCCATTCCCAGATCTAAAAGAGCTCACCCTCCTCGGCAACCCATACTCCTTCTCTAGTGACATCCAACAACCCCTTAAATCTGACTAACTCCGACGACTAACCACCGACCTTTGTAGCCTAACCCCTTTGCAGCTTTCTCCACCCACCTCTGGTACCACCTCAAGCCCTCTCCATTGTCAACACCAATCCATTGCAACCAGTGGTGGATTTAAAGAGGGACTAAAGGGGTCATGTGCCCCTTAGGGTTTGGATTTTTTATTTTATTTTAATACTTTACTACTTCATATACATATTTGAATGTTTCAATTAGTTGGTTGAAAAACCAAAAAGTCTAGTCGAGAGGAAGTTGGAGGATGAGAATAAGCAAGATTCAGAAAACATTTCAAATAAAAAAAAATTATACAAAAACTAATATTTAGAGTGAAATGTTAATGATATTTTTTAAATTATGAAAACAATAATAGTTGTTTTGATTGAAAATAAAAAGATTATGGCAAGACATATTATTATGTATGAAAGATGTATGAAAAAAGTTCAATCCAACGGTGATATCCATCATTATTGATATACAAACCTAATTAATCTTACTATGATATGGCACGTAATAGATTATTAGTTATATTTGACATGTGCGATTTATCCTTCATATGTTATTTTACTATTGGTTGATGATATCACATGTCAATAATGACGTAGTATCACCATTTTGTTGAATTTTTACTCAAATTTTGTACGAAAAAATTATTTTATCATTATATAATTTATTTTAAGACTCATATACACGACTTTTTTTTTTGATGCTGAATTTTTTTTTTTTTTTTTATATTATCTATGATACACTAGTTAGTTACAAGTTACATTATCTTTTTAATTTTTCTCTAAATCAATTATAAAAATTTATGTAAAATATTTATGTAACAATTTTTTAAATTGTAATTAATAAGAGTCCTTTTTTATTTATTTTTTCTGACTCCACCACTGTTTGCAAGGATGTGCAAAGACGCCGATCGATTTTGAGAAAGAGAGTGAAAAAGATCACACTCTTACATCGTGATTGTGAGAAAGAGAGTGAGCATGTGAGTATGGATGGCGGAGGATGGAAGAGTAACAGAGAAAGTCCAGAACGCAATAGGAGAGGCAGCGATGCGGAGAGGAGTTGAATTTGGGGGATTGGGTAGGAAGAAGAGCTAGATCTGGAAGGTTGTTGGGGAGGGTGGAGATGTTACCGAAGGAGATGTTGATGGCAGCCAATGTACAAGGGATGGGAAAGGGAAAGGGGATGAGAAAGAGGATGGGTAGGGGGCAACCAGCAATGGAACTTGCCAAAGAATAAGAAAAGCCTGCTGGTACTGCTATACCTTCTCTCACTATTTTTTTTTTATTATTTATTTTTAAGTGTGCATCAAAACTACGTTGTTTTAGTACACTAAGAAACACTACAACTCAAGCACTACTGAGAATCTAAAATCGAATAATCTTACCCTACCATCCTATTTATCTACTGCTATTATGAAACTATGAAGAGTTTGCATGTTTTTTACTTTTTTTAAATGGGAGTTTTTTTGATAAATCTATTTTCTAAGAGTTTTATTTCATTCAACTCATATTCTTTTTTATTATTCCATTAGGTCTTATTTGAAATAAGAAGACCAAAATACATTTTTCATCTACTTATGTTCCATTTAGTTCACATTATTTTCTTATGTTTCAATAAGTCCTATGGGTGACATAATTACCAAAATACCCCTAATGTGAATGTTCACACCGTCAATGTGAATGTTCATATCGTCAATGTGTAGGGGCCCAGCCCATGTCGATCCTCGTGGGTACCCGGAAAAATTCGAGTCGGGCCATGGCGGGCCCGACCCATTGACAATGTGAATATTAATATTGACATGTTAACATTCACATTAATAGGAGTGTAAAATTGGCCCGCGTTCCGTGGCGGTACAAAACCCGCCCGCGGCCCATGGGCGGCCCGGGGCGGACCCGGTCTGGCCCGCTTACAATGTGAATATTCACATTGACATGTTAACATTCATATTCATAAGAGTATAAAATTGGCCTGCGGCCCATAGGCGGCCAAAAGCCCGCCCACGGCCCGAGGCAGGCCCGGTCCGGCCCGTTGACAATGTGAATATTCACATTGACATGTTAACATTCACATTGATAGGAGTGTAAAATTAGCCCGCGCCTCGTGGCTGCCCGAAACCCGCCCACGGCCCGTGGGCGGCCCGGGGCGGGCCTGGCCATTTTTTTTAATTCTTTTTAATTTTTTCTACCAAAATTTTATTATTTTCCACAAAAAAAGACACTATGCCTCAGCGCGAATCGGGCCTCGGACCGAGCCTTGAATAGGCCTTAATCGGGCCGATAGGCGGGGCCGAGCTTCAAAGTGATGGCCTAGGTCCTAGCCTAGGGTCTTGGACTAGGCTCGAGCCTGGGCCCAAACGAGCCTTTCCCGGGGCGG